AATGAGTTATGCTAATGAGCTCCTGCACCTCTTTTTCTACGAAATGACCCCTGTTCACAACTTTAATGGCCATAGCTCACAAAGTAGAATTTTTGCTCACAAGACTCCACAGCTTAGAGGGAACATTGATTAAGACGTGCGCAACAGCACCTTAACGCCATGCTGCATTTGGGGGATGCTACAGAACACTCTCTGTGGTGCTCACCGCCAGGGGTGGACTGAGATAGTAACGCTAAGCAAAGGAGTCTCAGCTCTGTGCTCACTCCAGGCCAGCAAAGCTTTCAGATTCGTTGAAGGGACAACACACCTCAGGCCACCAGTTTCGCCAGCTTCGGCCAGTACACCGACTGTGCTCATTCCCTGTTTGGCGAGATCTGGTGGTTATTCACAGTCTGAACGCATACAGCAAGGGTCCCCAACATGACGCCCATGGGCAACATGATGCCTGGTGATACTTTTCTTGGCGCCCACCAAATGTTTTTAGAAAGTGGGCGGGTCCAGCTTGGGCTGTTGCTCAGAAGGGCTTCCGATTGGGCTGTACAGATCAAAATAACATTGTTTTAGTGGCCACCAGAGGGTTGCTTTTGTTCTCCCCTCTCCTCCTCTCAACGTGAGCTTCCTCTGTGTGGTTGGCTCTGCCCCTGCAGCAACCATTGTGTGGTGGTGTCAGAATTCTAAAGGGGCCCACAGGCTCAAAGAGTTTGGGGACCCCGGACGTACAGGCTGGACTAATGTAATGTGCTCTACGTGGACCCACCCTTGGAGACTGTTCAGAAGATCCAATTAGGGCAAAACACAGCCAGTCACGGGGGACCGCATCTCCCTAGTTTCACTCCATACCTACTCACTTCTGTGCATAATTCAAGACGCCTCTGTCCCCCTATAAAGCCCTAAGTGGCTCCTTTAAAGAAAACCACCTGCTCGGAGACATGCCTGCTGGAGAATTAAGGTCTCCCAGCGAGGCCCCTCGTCTTTGCGCCCCAGCTTCTGGTGGTGGTGGTGCTGGTGGGGACTTCTCTGTGGGAGAGAATTCTGAAGACAAAAAAAAAGCCACAAAGGAAATTTGCCACACATTTTATCGTGGAGATGCTTTGTTAGAAACCACAGCGATTAATGACGGTGTGCCTTCGTTAAAACAAAAAGCCACCCCAGAAACCACCACAGCAGCCTAAACATTGCGCAGGTGACGCTGACACAGGCCCGACACAGATTTGACACCTCAAAAATCCAAACCACCACTGGCTCTCAGACAAAGATTCTGTCCGTGGACTCCCCTCAAAAAGACCACGCACAAGACGAACACAAGCGGGCCGCCAGTACCCCTCAGGGGACCTGCGGATACTAACTGAGGCTTGGAATTCTCAGCCATGCGGATTGCAGGTTGCCCGGCAACACCCAAAATGGCCGTTGGGATCGCACTGAGAAGTCTTGCAAGATCTCCGGGGCATACATTTCCTTAATGAAGCCAACATTGCTTCTATGGTTTTGGAGGTTTTTTCCTGACTACTCATGTATTTCTTTTTGTTTACGCTGCAGGGAAATCCCCCTTCCCCCATCTGTCTCCGACCCCACTGTGCAGATTTTTTCATCCACGCTCTATGGCCCACTTCAGAATTAGATCATAACAAGCGGGGACCCGCAAGAAACCTGTGGGAGCGGCTGTCCTGTTCCCCCCACATCTGCTTCTCCCCCTCTCCCCCTACTTCTCCCACACTCCTTCTCCTTCCTGCTCAGTTCCTCTTAGGGTTGCCAGCTCCATGTTGGGAAATTCCTGGAGATTTGGGGGCGGAGCCTTGGGAGGATGAGGTTTAAGCTTGGAAGTGACCTCAGCAGGGTATAATACCACAAACTCCACCTTTCAAAGCAGCCATCTTCTCCAGGGAAACTGATCTCTGTCATCTGGAGATCAATTGCAATTCCAGGAGATCTCCAGCCCTCACCTGGAGGTTGGCAACATTAGTTCTCCTGTAGGAAATGACTGCTTTGAAGGACAGAGTCTATGGCATTATATCTGTCTGAAGTCCCTCCCCACCTCAGTCCCCAGGCTCCACCCCTCAAATATCCAGGAATTTCCCAACCTAGAGTTGGCATCCCTGTCTCCTTCCAACCCAATAGCCAACCTACTTTTATCTGCCTCTCTGTCTTCAGCTTTCCATCTCCTTTCCCCCTGCAGCTTCTACTGAGGAAAACTATGATCTTTCTCCACAGTGGAGACTAAAGCAGTTTACATTATTCTCTCCTCCTTTTTAGCCACACAACAACCCTATGAGGTAGGTTAGGCCGAAAGTATGTGACTGGTCCAAAATCACCCAGCTTCCACAGCAAGATGGGGATTTGAACCTGGGTCTCACAAACCCTACCCTGAACCTCTGACCATTATACTACACTGACTTTCATAGGGTGGCTGCTGTTGAACATTAGCAAGCAGCCAGGCCTAGTTGAATCATGCAAGTCAGGTGGTTTCAAGGCACCCAGAGGACACTGCTAGGCCTAGGTTTGCCAGCCTCCAGGTGGGACCTGGCGATCTCCCAGAATTACAAGTGAACTCCAGTCAACAGAGATCTGTCCGACTGGAGAAAATGGGTGGACTCTGTGGCATTATATCCAGCTGAGGCTTCTCCCCTCCCCAAACTCTGCACTCCTCAGACTTCACCACAGAATCTCTAGGAATTTCCCAACCTGAAGCAGGCCTGGCTCTAACCCTCCTGCTGTTTAGCCATTCGTACTGCAGGAGGAATCGTTCCCAATCCGAGCTCCAGTCCTGCTTTTGCTTCCTGCCCTCTCTATCTCTCTCTCACTGTCCATGTGATGGGGCCTGGAGAAGATCCCTACGGCGGCCATTTCAAAAGGTATTAGGGTGAGAAGTCAACCTTCCCTGAGGTGTTCTTTTTAATTTTTTGGATTTTTCTGCAGACCTACAGAGTTCCCTGAGTCTGTAGAAAAACCTGTTTGGGGAGAGTGTGCCCCCTATCAGCGGACATAAGTATCCGCATGCAGAGGGGACTGTTGAGAATTAGATATATAGATAAGATCCTCAAGAAGATTTGGGCATGAACAAAGGAGGTAGGCAAGGAGAGCTATTGTCTTCAGCAGGGGGCTCACACTACCAGGTCCCCCAATGGGGTGTCTCAGGGAAGGGCCACAGCTCAGTGGTAGATACTTCGATTTGTAAGCAGAAACTCCAACCTTCAGTCCCTGACATCTCTGCTGGAAGATCTGAGGTAGCAGGTGTCTGGAAAGGATTTTCTACCCAAGACCCCAGCTAGTCAGTGCTGGTGAAAGCCAACCATCCGATCTGGTCGCAAAGGGAACTCACCAATGTTTGTGGGGAAGATGTCCTCATTATTTATCTGCACCTCAATCCAATCCATGAGGAGGTTCATGTATCTGGGGGCCGAGAGGGCAGTGGGCTTGCGGTATTTCTCATCCTGCCAGCGGTATTCGTACTTTGGGCCCCCGGACATGATCGGACACGACTTCTCGGTGCAGTAATCACTGATGGTCCCGTAGATGAGGTTGACGCGGTTGAAGAAGTCCACCACGTGAACCGCCACCCAGTCGTGAAGGTCTTCCCCGGGCGGCAACTGGACCACCAGTTTCAAATCCAGCCCGGCGTTGAGCGACGCCTGGGCCTTCTTGTGCAGCTCAAAGCGTTGAGTCCCGGGCTCAAACTTCCGCTTGGGGCGGAAGGTCCTGTCTTTGTTAAAAACTTGCTTCAAAGGATTTGCCATTTCCCACCCCAAGTCTTTCACCCCCACGGCCGGGCAAAATCCAGTGGGCGGCTGTTCCAACAGTCTCCTTTCAATCTTATTAAAAAGGTCCCTCCAAATGCCGCTGGTTCTCCTGATGTCTGGCAACCTGCCGGGCAAGAGAGAGATATATATTAAAAAGTTAGATCAAGATGGGTAGCTGCGTTAGTCCGTCTGTAGCAGCAGAAAAGAGCAAGAGTCCAGCATTATTTTAAAGACTAACAAAATACGTGGCAGTGTAGGAGCTTTCTTGAGTCACTGCCACTTCTTCAGATCTGAAGAAGCGAGTGACTCACGGAATCTGAAGAAGTGACTGACGAAAGCTCATACTTCATACTCACGAAAGCTCATAATGCCCCTATATAAATCAGTGGTGCGACCTCATTTGGAATACTGTGTGCAGTTCTGGTCACCACACCTTAAAAAGGATATTATAGCTTTGGGAAAAGTGCAGAAAGTGGCAACTCGAATGATAAAAGGGTTGGAACACTTTGCCTATGAGGAAAGGTTAAAGCACTTGGGGCTCTTTAGCTTGGAGAAACGACGGCTGAGGGGTGACATGACTGAGGTTTACAAGATTATGCATGGGAAAGAGCAGGTAGAGAAAGAGGTACTTTTCTCCCTTTCTCACAATACAAGAACTCGTGGGCACTCCATGAAATTGCTGAGCGGTCGGGTTAGAACGGATAAAAGGAAGTCCTTCTTCACCCAAAGAGTGATTAACACGTGGAATTCACTGCCACAGGAAGTGGTGGCGGCTACAAGCATGGACGGCTTCAAAATGGAATTAGATAAGCATATGGAGCAAAGGTCTATCAGTGGCTATTAGCCACAAGGTATAGATAGGGACTCTGGGGCAAGTAATGCTCTGTCTTCTTGTTGCTGGGGGGGGGGG